AAACACCCGATCCCGGAGTCCTGATAAAGGTCCTACCCCCCCCCCCCCCCCCCCCCTCATTAAGTACATGTTAAATAACTGTCATATTTCCAATTATAACTCATATTAAGAAAATTAGAAAATAAAAATATGCAATTAGTGAATTAATGTAAATTTTAAATAGATATTTGATCAGTCAAACAGATGATCTTTCTTTCCAGTTGCAGATGTGTTTCCTGAGCCTCAAGGCTATCCTAAATATTTCAATTGAAATGAATGCAATGATTGCTGTTTTAGGATATTTCTAACTTAAAAAGTACAAACTTTTAAGTCTTTTTCATGCAAGAAGGATTGGCAATATTTATTTTGAAATTGAAGTATTAATCTGGAAATAATAGTCTTGCAAAAAAATAGAATAATTTTAAAAGAATCAAAATAGATATAATTGAATCCTTTATTTTGTCTTACTACTACATGAAGTTGGTATGTACTTGTTATGCTAAAATACTTATAAACATTTGTGTTTTTACTACAATGTACCGGTATCTTTTATACCAGTTTTATCATAGTGTTATGTTCTTTTCATGTCCTGGATTTTTTTGTACATATTTTTATATGTCCCTGGTACTGATGAAGATTAAAAATGAGGGACTGAGATATAAAAAAAAAAACTATTAAATTCAGTGTTGATAGCAGATCTTTGAAGTCTCTATTTAATTTATTCACAAATTATTCTTAGACAAGGTACAACTTTGAGCTTAATATATTGTATAGATCAACTATTTTCAAGGAGAGATATGCTCCTTGATAATTTTAATTATATGGAAAATTGCCTTATAAGGACTCTCAAGTCTACAATTCTTGAAGGATTGTTATGAAATATACCAAGGGTTTATATCAGCAATGTCTGGGACAAGGTAAAAAATCAGCACTGATCGATTATTTCTTACAGGAATTATGTCCCTTTGAAATTTAAATTCTATAAAAAATTTCCTTGTACATGTTGTAAGCACTTTTAAGTGTACAATTTTAGCCAGATATTTATGAAATTTATCTCAAAGGTTTATATCAGCAATGACAAATATGAAAATCAGTACAGATCAACTATTTCTAAAAGAACAATATGCATGCCCCTTGGAAATATTAGTTTTATAGAAAATTGCATTGTAAGTACTCTCACACCTTCATTTCTTTAAGATTGTTAGAAAATTTATATCAAAGGTTGATATCAGCAATGCCTTGGGTGAGTTAAAAATTCAGGGCTGATCAATTATATTTACAGGAGTTACATGTATGTTTCTGAAATGTAATTTACATTGAACATTGCAAAGTAAGCACTTTCACACCTACATTTCTTGTTGAAGTTATTGAAATCTAAATCATAAGCTTATTTCAGCAAGGTGTTGCAAGAATACAAACCAAATATTTTTACAGGAATTATGCCCTTAGAAATAATAATCATATTGAAATTAACGTTATTACAAATCTCGTCCAAACATTTTTTGTAAGATTTTTATTAAAAGTTTAAAAGATCCAAAAGCATTTTTCGGAGTTATTGCTCTAGGAGAGATGAAATACCGGTAAATGCAATGAGGGGTCATTGGAATGCTGCTCTATTATGTTTATACAATACAAAATTTAATGTAACAGTAAGTGCAATCAGTGTAGTTGACTGTAGACTGGGTAATGTATAACCATACCAGTTTCAACTGACCTGGATTTTGCGGGTTATAATAACTTGACAAATTGTATAGACTCATCCATTTATACCCCTAATCTCCTTTTATTCACACTTTTTGACCATGTGTTGTCTTTTGATCACATAGGCTGATCCCTAAAATATAAACACAGTTATCCTTGTTTTATTTTGCTGTTGTGTTGTTCCTTTTAATTTGTTGAAAATTAATAATCTTATGCTGGGGAGAATCTTTTGCTGATTTTTAAAAATCTTAAATGAACAAATGGTGTAATATTGCATACAAAATCCACCAGTGATCTTTAACTTCAACGACAGATTGATAGAAGATAGAAACATTTGAATTGAATATTAAAATACTGAGTATTAAAGATTAATGGAGAGACAAAAGAATGAAAAAAAGTGGCAACAGAATGGACAGCAGTTATGAAAGAGAGGGGGAAATTTCGGAATAGGGGAAAAAGAGAGATTAAATGTAGATTTAATATAAGGAAAGATTCAGAAAATTATTGGTATTGGTTATGGAAAGGGGACAAACTTAAGTATTAAGAAGAAGGTGTCTTTTATATAGATGACAGAAATAGAAGGATGCTGGGTCTTTACGAATTTGAGAAAAGACAGTAGTTTGTAAAGATCAACAGAGAGAAATTGAAGTGGAAAAGAAGAAATAGGACAGATCCATGTGAAATAGAGAAAAGAGAAATAATTTGGAGAAAGTAGATTTTGGCAAAGGAAAGACAATGAAATAGAAAAGGAGAAATTAACAGTTCAAAGGGAACAGAGAAGAATTCTGAAGACAGGACCTTGCAATGAAAAGCTCTTTATTTGCATATTATATTTTGTCTCACCTTGACAGAGTCAAAAACTATATTAAGTTCTGTTGCTTTCAAGGGCGGTGGCGATGGGGGTGGCCTGGGCATTCAACATTTGCTTTTATCTATCAAATTACATACAGGCAAGACATATCTCTGTGTCAACAGTTTATTATATATCATCCTCCTGCTTAAGTTTGTGTATTTTTAATTTAAGGATTTTAAAAATATTTTTGAATCTGTTTAAAGCAGTACAGAATTTTGTCAGCAATTTATCACGACATAAACCTTCAAGCTAGAATTTGTGAAGTGAAAATAGCTGAAATATTATATAATCTCAGATAATAAAAGGATGTCAAAACCAGACAAGGTATATACTGATTGGAATACTTGCTTTGAGGCCTTAAATTTAAGAATGTTATTTCCTGTTGTTGGAATAACTTTGGAGTGACCTGAGTTTACTGACTTCATTAGATGATTTTAGTCTAGACTGTTTATAGGATTATGTTTGTGACTTCTGCTCTTGACAATCTACAAGCTTGTAATAATGATATTCATTTGTCTCCAAACTCAAACCTTTACAATTAACAGCAAGCTTTGGGCTTTTGACATTTGGGATGGCTTCTGTTGTAGACATGTTTGTATGTTGCTATTAAAATAAAATTAGAAAGCATCAGATGTGTATATTGGTAAGTGCTAAGATTATGTGAATTAACAGCAGCCAGTATTTTCTTAGTACTTTTCTATCAGCTGAGTTTTGATTATTGAATAAAAGTTGATTGATTAAAAAGTACATGCTCCTATGAATAAGAAAAAATAATAATTTAATTGATTTTAATTTTTATACGCCCGTCAAAATTTTGACGGGAAGTATTATGGTATACAAATGTCGTCTGTCCATCTGTCTGTCCGGCGTAAACATGTCGCACCGTAACTTGAGAACGACTTATCCAAAACATAGTTGTTTCTTATGATGGTCAAACAATCTGTATACTTTTTGGTGAAAATAAGATTAAAACTTTTTGAGTTACGGGACTTAGTAACTAAAACAGGTGTGTGTTTTTTTTCACATGTCGCGACGTATCTCAAAAACAATTTATGATTATTGCTTAAAACTTTACACACTTCTTAGTTATATTAATCTTAAGATCTGTATACTTTTTGGTGATGATTCAAAATTTAATTTTTGAGTTTATATTGAGTATTTTGTAAAAAAAGGGGGGAGGGGTTTTTCACATGTCACGCCGTATCTCAAAAACGATTTATGATTATTGCTTAAAATTTTACACACTTCTTAGTTATATTAATCTAAAGATCTGTATACTTTTTGGTTTTGATTCAAAATTTAATTTTAGAGATATTGATTTATTTTTTTTTTAAAAGGGGGGTTTTTACATGTCGCGCCGTATCTCAAAAACGATTTATGATTATTGCTTAAAATTTTACACACTTCTTAGTTATATTAATCTTAAGATCTGTATACTTTTTAGTTTTGATTCAAAATTTTATTTCAGAGATATTGAGTTTTTTGTAAAATAAAGGGGGGTTTTTCGCATGTCGCGCCATATGTCAGAAACTATTTATGATTATTGCATAAAAATTCACAAGATGACGGGCGTATCATGCGCTCATGGCCCAGCTATTAATTGAATTTGTTATCCTTTGTTTACTTTTATAAAAAAAATATAAAAACAAATCTTATATAAGGCTAACATTTTGGTTGTCACTGTCATTCAACATTTTTCAAAATAACAGAAAAAGTTATGAACTGGGTTGCACAAAAATTTAAAATTATTTGAGTTAATGGAAACTTTCACACTTAATGACTTAGAAATCTGAAGTAGTGTATCAAAATCATTTTAGTACTTCATTTCACATTGGTAGATCAGTTATGCAGTTTAGAGTCACATTGACCTATTTTTTATGCTTGAGTGCCTTTGATTAGGTTTTATGGATAGACCCATTTTATTCACTTATGGGGACATCTAAAGGATGTGGCATCCATGTGTTTAAGAAATCTTGTGAAATTTACATATCATTCACTAAAACATGTTTGATGAAATTTGTTTTTTTATACAAATGAAACATATCTTTATAAAATTGCATAATACAAATTTATCCACTTAAGTTTGCCCTTTACAATTTCTTCCAAATAATGTATGATTTAATAGGTATAGTTACTAAGTTAGGTAAATGAAAATATTTGGAGAAGATTAATACCCGTTCTCCTTTAAAATTAAAATGCATGGTTATTTATAAATCTACATAAAATAGAACGAATGCAAAAAAAATATTTTAGATAATGAAAGAAACACAACCATTGCAGTATTTTTTCACTTTGATTGTCACAGGAGATTTTGTGATGGCCCATAATTATGTTAATCAAAATGAAAAAAAAATTGTATTCTGTTTATATTTCAGAAGCCAGTTGTGGGCCAAACACATTTGGACCCAATTGTTTGTATTCTTGTAATTGTGAATTGTCATGTGACCAATCGAGTGGAGCTTGTAGTATGTGTAAACCTGGATGGAATGGACCAAACTGTCAGATGCGTAAGTGTTATAAGCTATTTTTTTATTGCAAGATTATTGCCTGAAATTCTTTAGCTAGGCAAAGTGAAGTAATCAGTGTAATTGAGGTGGTTATCAGTGTATCTTGTTTTTAATAATTGTTACTTGATTTACATGTTTGATGAAATGAAATTAAAAATAAATCAGTATATATTTAAATTTCATATAAGTGCAGTTTTGATTGAACAAAAGTTTAACAAGAAGCTGTTTTTTTTAGAATTCAGTTGCTAGATATCTACTACTGTGATGTTGTATGACGACGTTGACTACCCACAAGGGTCTCACATGTTTGGCTCATCTTAGCTATAACCCAGCTGAATATAAAATTTACTTGGAACTTAAGGTTTTTATCAAAGTATAATCTGGGGTAGAGTGTAATAAAAATATCACATAATAATTTGATCAGAAATAGTAAGAATTTTCATCAGCATCAATGTTCCTTCACTCAGGAGACAGTTAATTTCAAATTCATTTTGATTTGATTATTTATCTTCATTTTAGACAATGTAGCCATGAATAAACCTACAAGATTAAGGAAATTCCCTAATGAAATGGCTGACCAATTAGTAGATGGAGATCGGGAAAACACATGTTTGTCTGTCAGTGGGGTAGATACCCAAAGACTAAAAATAGATTTTGGTGAAGCAGAGTCATTACATCATATAACAATATTTGACAAACCTAATCGTAAGTATTGGATTCTAATATCTGTGTGGTAGGGGAGATAAATCAAAAAGATAATTTTAATCAAAAAAAATTTCATATTAGGTCCGAGGACACAGTTATCGTCCTTAGATTTTCGTTGTCTACAAATATAGTCCTTAGTGTGGACAGTGTATAACTTGCAAATTTTTTTCATACACTTTTTAAATTTATTTCTTTATATTTTATGCATGAAATATTAAGTAAAGGGATGAAATTACATGTTAAAAAAGTTTGGGTGCTGAATCTTTATGTTAAGAAGTGATTTGGTCCAGTTCAAAAAGGTCAAAAACTAGTATGTCTGAAGCTGTCAAACTGAATTTTAGACCCCCTTAACATAGAATTGTCAATATTTTGAGTTAGAGCTGGTAAACTTTTCTATAATTTTGATATTATTTGTCCCAATAGTAGTACACGACACTGTAAAAATCTTTTTGAGATAGAGCAGGTGCGATTTTTTTAATTTGAATTTATTGTCTAAAAGAAATGCACTACAAAATAACTGTGTTCTTGGGCCTATTGTTGCATTTTCATTTTATCTGGTTTACACTTAGAACCAAAAGTTTGTAAGAATACATTAACAGTTATAAAGGGCATTAAAGGAATAGCCAAAATAGTTATCTGATGGTTAACTCTCCCTAACCAAAAGTTTGTAAGAATACATTAACAGTTATAAAGGGGCATTAGAGGAATAGCCAAAATAGTTTTCTGATGGTTAACTCTCCCTAACCAAAAGTTTGTAAGAATACATTAACAGTTATAAAGGGGCATTAAAGGAATAGCCAAAATAATTTTCTGATGGTTAACTCTCCCTAACCAAAAGGTTTCTAAAAGAAATAGCCAATATTGTTTTAGGTCAACCTTCTTTGGACTCTGAATAGGAAACTTTCTTTCTTTTATAAAAATAACAAAATATATAAAATAGAAATTAAAAGACAAAATAAAACAATTTGAAATTTTGTTTTGTATTCTGCTACCTTACAACAACTTTTTGTTTAGAAATTTAAGGATTAAAATGTTCGATATAGACAAGCGGATAAAATGTTAATAAAAAAAATGATAAACATTTTTACATGAACAGGTGCTCTGTCAGAGAGAGTATGGTCAAATGATTTGACTGTAAAAATTGGTAACACTACAGTATTAAAAGAAGCAACCTCCTGTCACAACCATACCGGTGATTTCCCACTTGATGGTGAACTAGATATTGAATGTAAGATCAGTGGCCAACATTTGTACCTGATAAAGAAGACAGAGCCCAAAGAACTGAAGATATGTGAAGTGGAAGCATACGGTTGGTATATAACCATTTATGTTATCATGGTTTTACATGTTTTATTATAAACTATAAATTTAATATATTTTTCAATCTTAAGTTTTCATAGATTAATACTAAACGGTACATAATGTAGCTCATTAAATGCTGCCTATGCAACTGGTGCTTTTAAGAAATTACTTTCCTGTCCACACTATAAATATAAAATAATTTTGGTGCACAGTAGGAGAGCTGCCCAAGTGACTCGAAACAATCATGTTAAGTTTCTGAAACCAGAGCGTATAAATCACTTCAACTTTCAGTATTTGTTCTTCTGTTGGATAATTTTTTATTGTTTTAGTCTGTACAGATTATACCTGGGGAAATCAATGTGAGTTTTCTTTTTTCAGTCTGTACAGATTATACCTGGGGAAATGAATGTGAGAATTTTTGTGGTAACTGTAAATATGGTGCCACTTGTAACCAGGTAACCGGAGAGTGTCCTAATGACTGTCAAACTGGTTGGTATGGTTACAGATGTAATACCTGTAAGTTATTTAGAATTTTGTTGTTAGGAAACTTTATAATCAATAAAATCAAAGTTTTTAAGACAAGAAGTCATGATTTTTTCTAAATTGTATTTTTTTTAGTTATTGGATTTTGTTTACTTTTTACACATTGTGACTTGGATGGAGAGTTGTCTCATTGGAACTCATACCACATCTTATTTCTATTTAAATACTAAATAAGTGAAGAGTTTAAAATGTCTAAATAGCATTAGATTTAGCAACAATTTCTAAATCTATAAAAGTAACCTCCTTTTTCATATTGAGATTTGAGATTTGTAATGAGTTTTTCCTGAGTTCAGAACTCAAAATGTTTTTTTTTTTTCATGAAAACAATTATGAATTACCATACACTTATGGCCCTGCTGTTTCTTTTTGGAAGCTTTCTGCTAACAATTTTTTTCTTTAAGTGAAAATGGGTGATCCAGCTACAATTGATAGAACCTCATATAGTCTAAATGTAAAGAATGGTATGTTCAATCTAATAAGTAAATTATAAATAATCTGTAAAAAATATCCATCATAATGAAACGGATATATCTTATGATTTTTTTTTAAGTGTTGCCCTTGACCGTCCGTCCTGCTGTCCGTCTGTCTTTCTGTCCGATTTTTTCGTCTGTCCTACCGTTCGTCCCAAAAGTATCTTCACATATTATAAGCAAGCTGTCCTCAGACACATTCTTCTTTTATTTTATACATAGTTCCAGATTTATTTAATTGTGAAAATCTAAAAATATTTCAATTTTTTTTCTAAACTCCTGTTCTCGATTAGTATTCTTTGGAATGCAAGTGTGCATATTTGTTTTAAACAATATTTTGAACCCCTGTCCAATTCAAGTTATTTAATTATATTTCTTATGGTTTCACTGAGGTGCAACTAACTATACATTTGTACTTTAAAGTAAGTTTTATTCTGAAGCAGGGAAATTACTTACATGTCAGTAAATATCTCGCAGCTGTTTTTTAGCTTTAAATTGCTGTCTGATTTAAACATTGAAATATCTAGTATAATAAATTTCATGGTATTGTGATAAATTTCAACTGCTTTTTGAAGGTCTGTGATGACCTATGATGGCTTTTATAAATTCCGCAAGCTGTAAACTGCATAAGGCAATTGACATTCAGGATTACTCTAGTATTTGAACATGATCTATATGTTCCTCAGCTGCCCTACAAATGGGTGTAACTGTATTTTACGACTATCGGTAGCTGTAATAATTATTACTATCAGTCAGGGCCATATATGATGCTCATTGACCTTATATGAGTATTTCCTCTGATTATATCCGTAGCTACTTCTACATCCTGTTTATGTAATGTTTAAGGATTAATCACGATTTTGTCAGGTAGATATTATTTCATTCGTAAATTATGTATTGTTACACTTATTAACATGGAATCATATTTTGCAAAGAGATTTGAATATATTGTTTCTTGGAAATGAGATCATGTGACAGTATTATTGTCTATTTCAAATTAATTCATTCTTTTTCATGAAACTTCGATATTTTATCATGATATACTACTGTAATTTTAGACATTTTTATTACCATACCTTTTTGGACTCTTAGCTCATACAAATTTAGATGGGCTGATTGTTTGTGATTTTATTATATAGATATGGGCTAGTTTAACATGATACAATATTCCAAATCTATGAGTGAAAACAAACACCTACTGCTCATGGTTTCAAAAATTATAGAACAATATTGTTAACCCAGAAAAATCTAATTTTAGAATGAATATATTTATACAAACTTAATGTTATTTATTGAATATATTTTTTTTTATATCGCCAATTAAAACCTTAAAGAAATGAAAACCCATGATGTCATAATTTACTTGATTTTTTTTTTGGGGGGGGGGGGGGGGGGGGGGGGTAATTTTTTCTTATTAATCAACACTTTGACAAGGTAATTTTTCTGGTTGATTTATATAAAAGGGTAAAATGTGCCTATCAGAAGTTAAAAGTGAGTTTGAAATTAATATAAAAGCAAATAAATGGATTGATTTTTATATTTTCATAAAATACTCGAAAATAAAGGCAGAAATTATTGTAGAATCTCATACTACAAATATCATATACAATTTTTTTTTCTATAACAAAGAATGTTAAAATTTTTGCTCACATGTCAGTAATAAGTTTCTAGGATTAAATATTTTGATAAATTGTCAGTTGTCAAATAACGGATGGGTACTATAGTCTAGTCACTCCTCAAGTTTGAAAATTAAAATTGAATATATATTTTTATTTTTGCTGTTAAAAATATATAAATTTTATAATGTGTTTTAAAAGTGTTACTCTTTGTACTTAAGCATTTTTATCAGAAACTTAAAAGAAAAGGCTAGTATTTAGAATATTAAAGATATAAACCCCAAAAAAATGTAATTAGTGCAAAAAATATCTAATAAACTGGTTAATTCTCTATAGATATATATTTATATTACTTATATACAACAGACTTAAGCAAAGTGTTGCCAACATGAATGCTCTGACCTCATCTTTTATTTGACTTGAAATGCCCTAACTTTACCACTGAAGGCAGCAAAGGAGGAAGGGGTGGGGAATTAATCCATTCTTGATTTTGAATTTGGTAAATACAAGCTAACAATTATGTTATAGATTTGAGGATGACTTTAATGAAGTAATTCCTGCACATCATACATCTAAGAGTTTGTTCAAAAGATAACAAACATATACTGATAGATTTAATAAACATGTTGACAATCAGAACAAATGTAATCTGTAAGAAACCGATGATTTTCACCAGGTGTTTTATAAAGTCCATCTGGTATTTGGAAGGTGACCATAATCTAACATACTATAAACATCCTTGTGTATAATGCTCTGTATAATGAACAAATGAAGGATGTACTAGACAGTTTTAAAGGGTAGGTTCCTTCCTTCCTGTTTCATTATTGATCTGATTGTAATCTTATTATTTGATTTTGTTAGTTGCGGTTTTTTGTAATCTGTTATAATTTTTAATCAAATGATATGAGGAAATCACGCTTCATAAAACCTGGGAATTGTATACTAATGACATTCACATTCTATATTAAATAATACATGTAAATATTCAAATCATAAGTTGTAAAAACTGTCATAAGTTTATGTATCAGGATTTGATATTATATACTGTAATCATATTAATAATTTGTCT